CTCTCTCTCTCTTTCTCTCTCTCTCTCTCTCTCTCTCTCTCTCTCTCTCTCTCTCTCTCTCTCTTAATCCCGTGTGGGGGACAAACATTCCTCTTGTGATACAATTTCCGAGAAATGCAACACTGCCTGTGGACAGCGACGGCGGAAAACACTCGAAGATTTCTGTTATTTAGAAAATGTGTTTACCCCAGAGATACCTCCAATGTGCCATGTTTCACGCTCGTTGCTGGGATAGCGCGGTTGCCCAGTAGCCAAGACCTGACTAATAGATGCCTGTGGTCCACTGTGTAACTTCCACGGCGAGCTCGGATCGCACTTAACCCTCCTGGAAGACTCTTACGTTGGTATCATATGGTCATCTTTATGATAGTAGTTTCGCTCAGCCGACTAGGTAGAACAGAGTTGGCGGAGTGGGAGGGGAAAGGAGGACCCGAGGGAAGGAGGGAAGGGGGGGGAGTCAGTGCTCATTAAGATTGCAAGTAAAGCAAGGTGCACTCAGACTTCCTTCGCATTTATTGTTTTTGTTTTTTTTTAAGTTGGGAGCTTTTTTTAAAACATAGATCATTTTGAAAATGTGTAAAATATCTTCCGTGTTAAGAAATAGGACATAGAAAATAAGCACCATCAAAAGCTGGTCAATCTTAATCATCGAACTCTTAGATGTAATTTAAGTTTTTATCTGACAGCTTCGCTGAAGCGGGCCTGGGAATATGGGAACGTCTGAATTTTGCTTATTATGGACTAATATACTCGATTAACGAAACCTGACTTAGGGTAAACTCCAATTTCCAAGCGTAGCTTCGGTTTTTTAAAATTCAGAGTCAATACGATTTAAAAAGTGGTTAAGATTTAGAGTACAAATCGAAACACCTGAATTTACTTTCCAGGGTTTCTGTTTATCAAATATTATTCTTTTTATTTCCCCCTGGCAAAAAAGAAGTTATTGAATTCATGAGCGTCTTTTCTAAGTATTGCGGAAGATTGGCTTTCAAGGAAGATGTTCTGCAGAACTTGCGCAATCTTCTTTGGGCCTCAAGAAATGATTAAGCAACGCACGTTTGTAAACGCGGCAACCGTATAGCGGCCACGGGATCTTTTTGTGGTGTTTATCACTCATGCTTCCCCCTTTTATTAAGAATAGAAAGTACATAATGGGTGTTTTTGTAGGACTAAGGTTTTGGGTAAGTCCCCCCCCCCCCTTCCACCCTTTCATTTCAAACTTGCACAGTTATGTGGGTCATTGTTTAGGTTACATTTGGGTAAATGGTTTTTATACCCAGTGCCCATTCGGACGATCGGTTCGGTTCGGTTCGGTTCGGTTCGGTTCGCTAGCTAGATTGGGGGAACAAAGTGGTTGTCGTGGCACAAACTGATCGCCCGACTCGTCGCCTAAAAAAACAAGCGAGTCTGTTTTCAGGCGGCGAGTCGGGCAATCGGTTGGCGATCGGTTTGTCGATCTCCCAAGCGGCTTTCCGTATTATAGAAACAGGAAACAACTTTCTGTGATCGTCGTGATGCGCGAAGACGAGAGTGCGAGGGAGGGGTTATGTTTTACTCTTACCAGGTTTATAAAACTTATTTTCTAAAAGAGTTTGAACCCATTGCAGTTGTATTTTTTCATTTTCTTTTCAGATAAAATTCACTGATGATCACTGTTCACGATGTCTGCTCTACTCAGACGTCGTTTACAACGTGTCCGTGAGCCCAGACATTTCCTACTTCCGGATCCGGTTCGGGGAACAGGAAGTGTGCGAGTACAGCATCGCTGTCACCTCTGTGCTGTGCTTGATCTACCCTTTGGTTGTCGGTGGAATCTACTTCTATCTGTATAGGCGAGACAGTGCTGAGACCAGGGATGAGAACAAGTAAGATACCAGCAATGAAGGACTGAAATTATGTTTAAGGACATCAGACCCCCCCCCCTCTCTCTCTCTCTCTCTCTCTCTCTCTCTCTCTCTCTCTCTCTCTCTCTCTCTCTCTCTTTCTCTCCCTCTTTTCTCACTCTCATTCTCTCTACCTCTGTCTTTCTCACTTCAGACCATGCCGTTAGTTCAGTTTATACACCCTGGCTCAAAGCCCCATACCTTTGGTTGTTCACATAATTTTTCACTTGGCTCTTACTTCTCTACGAATAATACAATGTAAGCGATTAGATTCTCTCATCGTTTCTACTTTCTGAATTCTGTTAATGAATTCTGTGCTTCGAAGGCTGTTTGTTAGGGCTCAATAGATGCCATGAGAACATTACATTGTTTTATCAAAATTGTGTCTGGTCAGAGGTTAAAGATTCACAATCATTCCAGTGAAAATACACAATAATGAAGATCATTTCTATAACAGTGCTCAATCCCTTACAATACAGCCCTAGGCGTTTTATAATACCTTCATCTTAATACAAAATACATGTGTGTGGAGGTGTATGCGTACGCTCTTTAGTAAACACCTAACGAGGATTCAGTCATACTATCAAGTTACAATTGATGCACATCACTTGTAAGAGCATAAGACTATAACTGTACCTACAGCTCCTAGAGCAAAGTGAAATATAATTTTTCTCTTAAGTAATCCGTAATTGGTTACCTGTGCCCCCCCTTCCTCAAACCCAGGCTGGACTTGGGTCACTGTCTGTTCTTGGTGCACGTGCTGCTGGAAGTGGCCTTTGTGCTGTTGATTCTGGTCTCTGCCAGCATGATCAGCAGGGGCTTCCAACACCTGTGTGAGTCGCTGGGAGCCGGCAGAGACCTCGTGCCCCCACTATTGGACAGGTTTGTAGAAATTCTTTGCGATCTATTTTCTGAATGTAGTGTTTTTACACCTTCATCAACACTGTTAAGATCATTTAGGAGGCGGGCTTCGACTCTGCCTGCCAGGGCCAACCTGGGCTTTGAGGAATGTAACATCCCAAAGGAAAGACCGAAATACTCGATCAAAATTCTGCCCACTCGTGGACCGAACTCGAGTCTCTTGCTTGCGAAAGCACCTAGCCGCTACTTCACAGACGTAGGGTGCATGACTTTGTAGCTCTATCAAGACACAAATAAGAGTTCCGGTACGATGGAATGTTGATATCCTAATGGGAAGACAACCCTAGTTTCATTATCTAAAAGGGAATTCTTGAACGTGAGGTTTTAGTAGAGTTTTCAAGGCTTTCCCTCTACCTACGAGTAGCCCAGTCTTATTGAAGATGGACGTTATAAAATATTAGGAGTGCGAACCTTTTAAAGAACCTTAGGAACGGGATGGAAAGGGGTATTAAACCGATACCCTATGATAGGGATTCAGGACACTTTTTGCCTATATACCTGGCTGCTTCCGACACATCAGCATGGATACGTTGTAGACAATGAAAGAAAACAGGACACCACCCGGTCAAAGAGTTTGTAGCTGTAGATTATGACAAAGCTTAAGTTTACTTTAGGTTTTCTAAACTAGAAAAGCAAACGGTATCTTGATATGGATTGTTCTAGGCATTTAATGCTCTCCCTTTTCCTGGTTCGGTCTCTACATGAGACAGTTGTTAAATCGACAAACTCACCTCTTAAAAAGATGGGTGGGTGGAGACAGACTGCTATCATTTTGTTGATTGAGCAAAGAGAAAAACACTGTTACTGGTAACGGAAAAGGCAAGATAGGCTGACAGAAAAAAAAACAGGAGAGGAGAGAAGTCAGTATGACCTTCAGTGGTTCCGTCGGACCACCTGTGAGATAGATAGTTAGATAGATAGATAGATAGATAGATAGATAGATAGATAGATAGATAGATAGATAGATAGATAGATAGATAGATAGATAGATAGATAGATAGATAGATAGATAGATAGATAGATAGATAGACAGTTATAGCTTACGGAAGGACGGATAAGTACTAAGTAGGTGGATGGATAGATTCAATACTGTTATTTTTGGGTCTTTCCTCATCCAAGCCCCCCCCCCTCCCCCCCCACCTCAAAAGTAGGCTCTATGCTAAAAGAAAAATATTGAAAAATCACCCACCCCTTTTCCCCGTTCCCTCTTGTTATCCTTGCTACAGCTGCTCCGACGCCCAGAACTTCCACAGCTGGAGGGGTTATGACGGGAGCAACTTCTATGTCACCCTGTCAGTGGCAACGGTAAGGTTTTTTCTTCTTTTTATATTTTAATTTATGTGTTTAACGCTCCCATAGACACAATTTAGATCATTTATGAGGCGCGATTTAGACCTTGCTTTTCAGAGCCAACCCCGACTGAGAGGGGTATGGCATTCCAGCAAAAAGACCGAGATACTCAATAAAAATTGCCTCCAAACTCGGGAATCGAACTCGAGTCTCTTGCGTGCGACAGCGAAGCGCCTAACTGCTACACCACAGACATCGGTTCATAGTGAGTGAAGTATTGGACACCGCAAGTGGTGCAATAGTTACACTCATTACTTTTAAACGCAGCAGTCATGAGTTCGATTCCAGAGTGGGAAGATATTATCTTATATCAGAAAATGTTCGTCTGTGCCCTGGGGTGTTGCATTCTACTCAACACAAGCTGGTCTTTGAAGGCATGGTCGAGGTATTCCTTCCTCTAAATGACCTAAATTCCTTTGATGGGTGCGACAAACATTTCCAATAAGCGTTTATTAATTCAGAGGTGCTGGACACGGGAGATAACATTATGTAATATCTTATCTGAACTCATCTGATTTGATTTATTCAAATTTTATATATTACATTGCCTTGTTAAACCTTTTCTGATCTTCCCTTTGTTTAAAAGAATTATGGATGTCCAAAGGAGGATTTTTTAAAAATTATTTCGCTTTACTCTCTCTCCCTCTCTCTCTCTCCCTCTCTCTCTCTCTCTCTCTCTCTCTCTTTCTCTCACTCTCTCTCTCTCTTTCTCTCACTCTCTTACTATCTCTCTCTTACTCATTCTCTCTCTCTCTCTCTCTCTTACTTTCTTTTTCTGTGTCTCTCTTGGTCTATCTCTCTCTGTCTGTCTGTTTCTCTCTCTCTCTCTCTCTCTCTCTCTCTCTCTCTCTCTCTCTCTCTCTCTCTCTCTCTCTCTTCCTCTCTCTTCCCACGTTAGTGTTCCCATGTTGTCTTTTATTAAAACCATTCGCTGCGACAATTGTATAGTGGCATTGCTGTGAGAGATAGGTTTTGTTACTTGACCACTTTCTTCTGTGTAGTCTATGAGGTTGATAAACCTTGAAGTGAAATGTCAACACAGCCTTTTAAAATTTTCTTCCTCGTACGGCGGTTTGAGGAGTGTCAGTCAAGTGAAAGGTCTTGTTATATTTCTATTCTTTTGTTATATATTATCATCGATTTTGCCCGTCAGTCTTGCTTATTTTCAAGAAGTAATTAGTGGTTTTCGAGTCTTTGTGCTACCTCTAACCCTGACTCATTGACTTCTTCCTTCAGGCTGGCAGTTGGTTCCTGTTCCTGAGCTGGTTGCTACAGGCTCTCTTGGGCCTCTGGAAGCTGTGGCGACTCAATATGCTACCTGTTTTACCCCTCGGTTGTCTCCCGTGTTGTGACAGGGGCGAGTAACTCTTGTCGATACATACGTGTTGTAAATTTTAAGATCTTGAGTGCTCCACGTCTGGAGAAGGCAAAGAGTGGTGCACTAGTGCACATTGACGTTCAATATGCAAACAAGAGTAGGGAGTGTATTTCGTGGTCTGTGATTTTTTTACATCGAGATAGACGGGGGAAAGGACAGATGGACAAATATAATGACAGTACCGAAGTAAGAACTGCACCAGTTGGAAGTCTCCTTGAGAAGTTCTTACACACGCAGAAGTACGCGATTTCGTCCAGAGTTCAGTAAGCAAAGCAAGACAAAAATGATGTTTCTTTCCTCGACTGCTCTTCCAAAAAACACACGGATACATTGTCGTTCATTATAGGACTGAGAAAAGCAAGACCCATTGCAGCTGTGTTCTCTCCTGACTAGTCAGCTCCTGATGGTTTGTGGTACCTATGATCCCAGTTCAGGACTTCTTGGCCGTACAATTTCTACTATAGAAAGTGGAAATGTTTTTCAGGCTGAAGCAAGAAAAAGGAGAAGCCAAAAGTGGACTGCATGAAGGATAATAGAGCCATCTTAAAAAATGGCCTCCGATTCGATTATAACAACAAAACTGTTTCAGTTTGTTACGTATTTTCAAGTAATTCAAAACAGCACAGATGTCCCGCTGTTTTGTGATTCTTACATTACATTGTGCTTTGGAGGGCATGCTGCTGTCAGTGGTGTCAGTGGGATTATCAATTCCCGCTTTTGTTACGCTGAACCACCCCTCCTCCCCCCCCCCCCCCCCAAAAAAAAAAGGAGCTCTGAGGAGTGCGGTCAGATAGTGCACTGTGGTGCGAAAAGCAAAATTCATAAATTTCCATCTAATGTCTGGGGAAATTACTAGCGACTCAAACAGTTTGTACTCATTTCCCAACGAACATTTCATTGCAATTGGCAATTTCCATACTTTGTTCCAACAACGTTCATGTGAATCTTTTCCACCTTGTATGACAGAAGACGGCGGGCTGTTCCTATGGATGTTCTCTTCTGGACCTCGACAATGATTGTATACCTTGTAGCCAGAACACACAAAAAATACTTATTCTACTTATTCGTGGTGTCGGTTGCAATGTGGCCAACAACACTAAAGCTTAGCTTTCTCGAGAGTGAACCCCTTCCCTCAACCCCCCCCCCTCCCTAGAAAAAACAACAACCATCCAAACAAACAAACAGAAGATAACCGTGCCATATGTTGTCTCTGTACAGCGATCATTCCTTGGACAAGAGGATCTCCTTTTACACATTTAATTCGCTCCTCGAGTAAGATGGCATCTTCACTATATCTAAAGCATTAAGTTACATTTTAAGACCACGAATTGTTTACTTTTTAACCTGATTACGTATAATATTTATTAATTTGTTCAATCAGTACATTGTATTTAGTTGTCTGCTTGCATTTGTTCGTTCATTTGTTATTCCTAGGAGCTTACGTTTTTTGAGTTGTTTTATAATGGGGGGGGGGGGGGGGGGGGGGTGTCAAACTTGACATGTTAGCTTCTGACACCATTGATATAAATAGAAAAGTGCATAAAATTATGCCCCTGCTATGTATCTTCTACTTCTGGGTATACAGTTACTTTCATCTACCTGTCGTTTGACGGTTCAATATGCATGTACTTTGCGCGGGAATTTTCTTACTTTTCTTTTTCATAATTTTTACAACTGAATCCTCAATAACCGTAAATCATGCCTGTGTGACCAACACTTTTGGGAGAAATGTGATATTATGACATGTCCAATAACCGCCCACAATAGAAACCTAATGCATTGGTTTGTATTTTAAGAAGTAGAGGTGTAGTTTATGAGGAGGGCAACAAGGAAACGAATGACTGTGGTGGTTCTGTTTTATTTGCTTAGCTTTTGGTTTATCTTTAAAAAAAAGTTTGTCAGGTACAAATGTGTACTACATAATAATAGTCTATGAAACAAATTGACGACATAAAGCAAATGTGACTAAGCAGATAAGCCTTCGACATTGTCTCATCTAAGATCGAATCGTTTAGTCTTTTCACTCTGTAAGATTATTTTTGTTGTGTCATCTCATCCATGTGTTATACATGTATGTTTGGAGAGAATGCATCCAAATGTGTTTTTTGTGATAACTTTTTTTTATCACAGCAGTCGCAGTAGATTTTTAAAATAAACGGTGTGTATATGTATATGAAATTGATACTATGTGTAGAAAACAACAATACCACTATAATAATAATAACAATAATAATAATAATAATGATAATGATAATGATAATAACTATAACAAATAGCAATATAAATATTATAATAGCATTATTAGTTGCAGTAATAATGATATAACACTGAAAATAAGTAGTATACTACTAAATGTAAAATCTGACTTATTATTTATCTTACAGTTTTTAGCTAGCTTAATACGTTATTGGTGACTTTGTCAGTAGGATACATGGGTCGCGGGCCTTGCTCCCCAACAATTAATTGATGAACAAATAACGATGGGAAAAACCCTTCAGAAAGACTCTAATTGGTATCATTAAAGGGTTTTACGGCACTTGCAACATATTAATAGATCCTAAAAATGCGGAAGATAAGAGTTGTTACTTGAGAGTAACATACAAAGAAAAGAAAGAGGAGAGATAAGGACGATAGATGTTTGGCAGGAAAAGAGCAAACCTCACCAGAGCACCCATAAACAACCGCAACGCACTAAATCGACCGCTGGTTCGGCACAGTTGATACGTGTACTTTATGAGGATGAATGAAAGACAACAGTCGGACCTTTGCACTTTGATACCGGTTTCCATTGTCTGACTATAAATTGATCACCAGATTATAAAGGTTTTACGCCGAAATCGACACATTTTAGATCATTAGAAAGTGGTTGGCTGGGCCAGCCATGACTGGATGGCATACAGGACAACAACGGGAAAGACGGATCAGCTCCATACAGTACACGTCTACTACACACTGGGGTCAGCCTAAAGTCAGTTGTATGCAGCAATGATGATCCTCCACATCACGGCCCTGGCACCCATCTAAAACGTGTTGCTTTGCGCAGGTCGTTTCGTTTCAATCGTATTGCTATATAGAGCGGATTGAAAGGGAAAATATGTCAAAAGGGTGTACATTCTAAAAGTAACTTCAAATCATATTTTTTTCTTCTTTTTTAGATTGTTCTGTTTATTTCTTTTTCTTTTCATTCATTTGACCTCATCCGGGTAAATAATGTGTTGGGTTTGAGAGACATTGGTGGGGAGAAATTTAATAAATTTTATCCTTAATGTATTCCTGTATCTGGATTTGTTAGAGCTTTCTTTCGTTGTTGTTGTTGTTTTTTTTTGTGCATGTGTTTAGGCTATCCACCTATGGTGATAATGAATACATGGTGCTCATTAAGCATTTGTGAGTCTTTCGATTTTTTACTCTCAATTTTTCTCTTATCTGTCTTATCCCAGCTTTGGTGGCTTGGACGTTTTTCTTTTTACATGAATTCAAAAACAAAAGTATTGACATTTTTAGAGATGCAGTGGTTGCTTTCTGGTCTGACCGCGAATAACAGAAATAACACAACACATGTCCTCCTCTTGTCAGTCTGTCTATCTGTCTGTCTGTCTCCCCCCCCCCTCT